CTACGTCGGCGGTGAATAACAGGAGACAAAGGAACAAGCGGTCCGTAATCACAAGGGTCCATATAATACCCGTTTGGCAATCCGGACGCACCCAATACTGGCAACTCTGGGAACAATTCTTCGGCACTTTCAACACCTTCAGGCAATGGAAATATACTTTGATTGAAGCTCATTGCACTTATCCTTTCCCGTAATCGTTCACAATCATTTGGAGATAATTGATGAGATGTTGCGCTATCTGTCGTTTTTGTTAATTTTTTGCCGAAAATCGAAGATTCTTGGTCTTGTACTGAACAGACGTCGACCATGACTTCATCGCGCATAACACCTGTTGTTCCAATATTCCGTTTAATACCATCTGTTTGATCGCCCTCAATTGGACCTGAGTCTTCTTCTAGTTTGATAATTATGTATGGTTGTATGCTAACGGCTTTCTGAGAATTTAAACGCCGAACCTGCAATTGGTTAGATATTCGGTAAATAGCTTGGCATAAGAATAAGCGTCTAACAATTTATCTATTGGTTTTCCCTGAGTGAATTAAATGTTATATTTACACAAAGGGTGAGCTTCTTTTCCTCGCTGCTATTATGCCATTCAGCACAAGCATGAGCTAATTGGTAAGCCCATAATTTCTTTAGCTTTCTCTCCTCATAAAAGTCGATAGCCATCAAATTCTACGAAAGATCAAATGTTGCCGTTGAGTGAAATGAAGCATAGCACTAAGATATCATTACCAATTATGATGCATACCATCTGGTAGAGTAAAACATCCCATAGAATAGGCAGACGAGTTGGATCTCTGAACCTCTCTCTCTGTCTTGTGCTCAGTGTCTGATTCACTTTTCTTTCTTCAATTTCTTTCAAAACCTTCACCATTCTAACCTCTTCCTGAGCAAGCTGTTATTAAGTTATATTATAATTCAGTAAATCAATGATATCCATTTACTTACATTGTAACATTAACCCTTATAATATTAAGGGGTTCTTTCAAAACAACTAATCAACCAAGCTATCCGCTTTCTCACACGAAAATGAAACGCACGGATAAGTCAATGTACTATTATTAACATGTCCGTAACAAGAGTCCTCGTATATATCTATTCTTCTACGATTATCATACAACTCATAAGCAATTGAAATTCCATAAACACACCTGCCAATCAGAAGTGAGTATGACTTTGTTAAACTCTTGTAAAACAGCATGAAGTGGCGCCTCTTGATAATGAGCAAGAATCGCCTCGCGATCAAATGGTCTCGATTGTTCGGACTGACGAGGTATCATATGTGTAGTGGGTGTTCTAGCAGAGTCTGGGGACCGTCCAGACGTTATGCGCTTACTGTCTTTTCTCTGATGCGTATTTACTGATAACTTTAAAGGAAACTTGGCGCTTTGTGGTGAAGTTGCAGAAGCAGATATTGGGGAATATGGATGAGCATTTCGCTAGAGAAACGAAATTTAGTTATTACCGGGAGTTCATTATCAAATATTGGTTGTTTTCCCGAATTAGAATCTTCAAGTAACATTTTGAGAAACTTCGCGAATAAATGGAAAAATACATACCTCAGCATCCTTCAATATCTCGTCAACGCTTTTAGGCGCAATAGCACCACTCGCAGCTCGCGTCACCATTCGCTCGATGGGAGGTGGTGGTATGCGTTTTGGTCTTTTAGTGGTAGGTGATGGTTCTATTGGGGTTGAAGGTTCAGTCGATGCGGAACTCGGGCCGGCTCCTGGACGAGTTGAACTCGCATTTGCCGCACTCGATGTGAGAGTGGTGCTAATTCTTAATTCGTATGGTTTCAAAACTTCTTTTTGGGTCGCGCTCTCTGCACTGAAAAGGACTGTAAGCTGAAAATGACTAATATCTAAACCGACTAGGAGCGTGCTTCCGAAACATCAATACCAATTACCCGAATCTTAAATAGTTCATAGCAGATCACAAAAAGGTACCTTTCATATTGGAGCCTTCGTTCCTGTAGATACGAGTGTAATTTTTTATCTACTTGATTCCAATCAGATCCGTCATTTTTCTCACTTTCTATTGTATAGAATAATTCTTTAAACAACGCCTCATGGCGTGCAATGATCCCTCTGTCGCATAGACATACCAGCACAGAATAAGAAATTTTATTGATTACGAATAGATATGCGAAGACAAAGAGAGACAGAGTACTAACTTTATCTCTTTCTTTTTGGTTTCGGACACTGTTTCCCGCAACTTCTGTATATTGAGCTTATTAGATTCATATTCATCGTAAGTATTCAGTTACATCCCACTACACTATTGCCTTGGTCACGTGATGTTTTAATGTAGTTCCCAAAAAGTATACCTAGAGGCCCCCCATCCGCAGCAACCTACTCGATAGCACTATATATTATAAAAGTACAGTAGCCTCTTCCTCAAGTCAGCTCACGTTAAGCGCGACTTGACGTATCTAAACACTCCAAAGTGACTGTCCTCTTGCAAAAATTATGGCAACGATCTTTACCTTTGAGCTTCCATAATAGTTCTTAATCTCTCTCCCCTTTGATTCGCTTGACGTCTCTTTGTCCATAGTGTCATAGTATTTGAGTATAAGACGGGTGTGAGGGCTTTCGCCCTTTTATGAAATATGTGTGAATGTTTATTATTATATATTATTCTTTTAGCAAACTTGCCACTTGCAAATTCTATACCTGAGAATCGCCGAAGATGACGTAATTGAGATGTTGTGGCGTAATTTCATGTGATTTATTATGCCCAATAAGAGAAAATATATAAATAACTATGATGTGCTGCATTCTATACGCGTACCAGTAACGAAATTGAAACAATTTCCAAAACCTCACGAAACAAATATGGCTGAGGAGGAGTCTACATTTGAAACGTCTCCTTTAATGATACGGCTTGAGCAAGGTGTAAATAAAGTTTATACCGACTTGTTGAATTTACAGAGGAATAGGTCTTAATAATACAAATTTGTAATGCGGATTTATATTAGAGCGTCTTAACCTGGGGAATGTACGTCCGGTTGAATTAACTGGAGGACAGATCAAAACTGGTTATGAAATGAGTGAAAGATGCTGGTGTAAGTAGGCTCTGGTTTGTAATTTGACGCGTTAAATTACAAAATTCTGAGAATTGACACTTTTTGATAGACGCGTTAAAGTTTATCTGTCAAATGGCATACGATGAAGATGCTGGCGTTTCACGCGAAGTTCTCTGTTATTTATCGTTATCTGGAATACTCGAAACAGACTTGATACCAATATTTTTAAAAGTCAGAAACATTGTGTGCGAAAGCGAGATACGGATGGTTTTGGCATGTGGTAAGACCGTAGTTACGATGTAGGTTGCAGAGTTAATTTATGTAGGAACTAATACTGATGGATTTGAATTCCATGACAGTCGGTTTATTCGATCGAATGACTGATACAGTATGGTTGACGGATCGTCGGAAAGATTGCGAACATTTGACAGATGAGTCTAAGCGCCGAAAGGTTTTTAGCGAACTGTTAAAGTTGCAGAAAGCTATGATAAGATACAAAAGTATCTTTGCTAATAATAAAGACTTTATTAATGCTCTGGAGGAAGTGGTTGACATATTGCTCAGAGGGTTTGTATTGAATATCTGTAACAGTAATTGATACATCACATGTTTATTCACTGTGCCCACCATCGTGCAGAGATACGAGATCAGTCGAAGAGGAACGTATTGTAAGACATGGCATGCTTTTATTTCGTAATTTACTTGCTATTAAGGATAATGAAGATATTATAGCGGCTGGCAGAGTACAGGTATTTTACTGCAACTTTTACGTATACAGCTTGTTACTTGATTGACTAACTCATAACTATCGCAACTTTTAAATAGAGTGAGCTCATTCATTCCTACTACGAACACAACGTGTTCTTATTAATATCTGCCATGGCAGCATCATCAAATATCAATGGATTGTTAAAAATGACTATACTTGAAATACTTTACTACATTTACTCAGTCGCTGAACCTGAGGAGCTAATCGAAGAGGTCAAATATTTTAGCAGAGATTCTTAAGTCAATAATACGCATCAGATGAACTAATTATACGATTGATTACAGCCTACAGATCGTGCTGTTATGGGGAACTCGTTGAGCGAAGAAATGCCTATTTCTAACAAAATGAAATCTACAAAAAAATGGCCCGTGCAATTTCTCCTGAAAACAAACGTATGTGAATTAATTCATCTGCTACTCAATGTATAATGTCACGACAACTTTCTTATTTGGATTTTTCCCTGATCAGGATGGAAGAACCTACCCTGCATTTACGAGAAAAGCTTTGAATAACCCATCTGTAAAGATTTTGGATTATAGTAAGAAAAAGAGATGGGAGCGACGTGGATTCCTGGACGATTTAGATCAGAGGAAAATGCTTGATCTCAGTCCATCGGCAAAACAGGCCTTACGTAAACTTGGCGAAGCAATCTTGAATATGGCTTTTCATCGTAAGTTATCTAATACCTTCTAAATAATTGGTGGTCGTTGGACTGTCGATATTTCACGGAGTTTCTGATTTTCAATCTTTTAGAATTCATTATAGACATCAAGCATGACATTGAATATGAAAGACCCTATATGAAAAACGTACACGTTTTTTATGCAATGTATGTTTCAGGATTTTTTCTTGGATTTCAACGTTTTATGCTGGAAAATGACAGTTCATTGTTTGAGGATGGACCGCACATTGGGAAACCAAAGTGGGATATTGGTCACGTTGCTTTTATTCTTAACCAAGACGGACTCCAGCTTATGTTAAGAAAGCTTAGGGAAGTTCATCTTGACAAGGTTAGCTATTGGTTTACCGAGTGATTTATTAGCATAGCTCGATACTAACCGAGTATCTCGTAGAAATGGGTTGAAGTGCACATAGGCCTGCATTATTTGAAGCAAATGGTATGTCTAAGACAAATCAAGACATTTGACATATCTAATCGAACAATTGAACTGCATTGACAAAATCTTTCCTAAAGTTGCTATCCTTGAGGTCAATGTCAAAATCCAGCTTCGAGTTTTATCCCATGATTGCGAGACAAAGAATAGCTTTTCTAAGTGATGAACAAGCAAATTTAGATTTGGTAGTTGATCTCATAAAAAATTATAAAGAGCAATCGTTCGGGTAATTGTTTTCTTTTGTATACCGTGTTTACACAGGATTGCAATTCCGACAATTCCATATTAACTGACATATTATGTTGCTAGATTTTTGAAGCTTCTTGTTGAAGTCATTCATTTACTCGTCAATATACTTGAAGAATTCACCGAAACAGGAAGACGCCTGTATACTAAACAAAAGATGCGTAAGAAAAAGAAAAGGAACAAAGGTAAAGGAATAATACGTCATGATTAGATTTAAACGATTAACTGATTACGCCGATACAGGAAAGAAGAAGGCTACTGAGAACGATGATGAGAACAGAATTGATGATGAAATCGAAGAAGAACAAGAGGGAGAGCGAGACGATTCTTCGTTACGTGAACAGTCATATGCTCATATGCCCTTCGAATTGCTTCAATTCCAAATGGTATGAATTATCAGACATGTGTTATATTACCAAGTCAACTCTCGGTCACTAACATAATCCATCCTTTTGGAGATGTTTGCCAACGAGGCTGTTGTAAAGAACTATCTCAAATACCTTGAACATTATCATGAGTTAGATGCACAAGAGATTTTGCACGCTGCATCAGTGATAGATTGCATAATCAATAAATGCCATCAAGGTGGACTGTTTTTTAGAGTAAGTACTTTTCATTTCCCACTTAACGTCTTTGAATAGAAACATTCCTCTTACAGATTGTCTCCATTAAGCCCTCAACATTTGAGCTCTTTGAACGAATAATGTCTGAACCACTTAAACAAGTTCAGGCACTGAAGCCACTCATAACACAGATAATGCGACTGTTTGTACAAAAGGCTGACGATGACCCATTAAGTCTGGTGGAGGTATGCCCGTTAGTAAGATCATCGTTTCTTTTTTTGTTTTTAATATTTCATGTGGACATATTCTATATTTTAGGCACTCTTTCCAAAACGCAAAGCGGATGCACATGTATACGTGCAACCGGATGAATAAAAAAAGTCTATCGATAACAACGCAAATTAGACAACTCCCGTTGATGATCATTGTTCCACCTTGATTCGCTTTGAATTTCTACCGTCTTCTTTCTTATTCGCACTAACTTTTACACCCGCTTGAGAAGCTCCTGAAGATATAGCGGGTATTCCGCCCTTTATGTCATTGTCCTCTGGCTTTACTGTTCGCCGAGGATACTTGAATTCTTGTCCTTCAAAAGACCTATGGTAGATGCGTTTAAAAACGATATGAATATACGGCAATCAGACAAGCTGAAAATGGCAGTTGTGGGGAGACATACCCAAAAGAGGGTTCGGGCTCTTCTTCGAAGAAGGGATGGCTTAAAGCATCAAGAGCCGAAATCCGTTTTATGGGATCATATTCTAGCATAGCTGTCAGCAAATTGTAACCTGCTTCTGATTTTGCTGATGGTAAGCGATCATAGTATTCACGAAGAGTATTGCTATATCTAAGATGTCAGAGATGCGGGAAGCGTACGTTATCAATTATTTGATATTTGAAATCGCTCATGCAAACATTGTGAAGAACTTACGGTCGGAACGAGTTTAGATTGTTATATTCTGGTTGGTGATCTATTGTAGGCCATCGCTCTTCTGCAATTGACGTTTAATACTATTTAGATACAAGTGCACACAAACCAATATGAGATGAAATAACATACTTGTGGGCGTTCCGAGAACTTCAAATATCTTTGTCAGCTGACTTCTTTGGAATGGGACATTCTTTTTGCTGTCCATCTTAGCTTCTTCTCCTTTAAATATGGGCTTCAATGCTAGAAGCTCGGCAAATATACATCCGACGGCCCAGATATCTATGATTCGTAATATGATAAGACAAAAGCGGGTAACGGATATCTTAAATGAAACATCTAACATCAAAATTACCGATAGTCGTCGTATAATGCTTTGACCCGAGCAAGAGCTCGGGTGCTCTGTACCAAATGGTGACCACAACCTTGTCCCCATTAAATAAAGGCACTAGAGGGTGATGAAATAATCTCGCTAGTCCCAAATCTCCTATTTTGACCACACCGTCGGCTGTAACCAATATGTTGGCGGGTTTAAGATCTCTATGCATCACCCAATTAGCATGCAAATATGCTACTCCATTAAGCAACTGCCATAGGAAGGATTTTATAGTGAATTCCGGTATAGGTTTACGCTCACTTTGACTATGATGGTGGATTATTTGCTAAAAAATGAATGAGGATTCAACATATGTGAGATATGAACAACCGGGAATGGCAAATAAGCAAAAGAAAAATAGAACGAGTAAGAACCTACAAGAAAGTCATGTTCAGCATAATCAAAGACCATATATATTGATTTATCTTCGAGCAAGACTTCTTCTAATCTAATTGTATTTTCATGACAGAGTTCTTTACATAGCTACATACGAATAAGAGATTATTTGCATGTCCGTTCTCAAAAGGTCAAGTATGTAAGACTCAAGAATTGCTTTAATTTATTACCGAAATTTCTCTCACAGCGCTCTGTGAAATCCCGGTATATGAATGCGTATCTCCTTCTTTGTCGGGTTTGAACTTCTTTATTGCATACACACATTCAATTTCCATTCCATGTTCGTTAATCTTCCTAGCATCGAGATTACGTTAGTTTTTGTTCGGTGGCACTTTTTCATGACCTTCTTTCACGCAACTCACGGTTCTTTGGCCTTTGCTTTATAGACTCTCCCATAAGTTCCTGAACTAATAAATCCTTGTATTTCATATTTTTCTTGCACTCTAATCTGCTTGGCTTCCTTTTTCATTTTAAGATCATGAAGCATGCCAAAATTGTTCGGAGCTGGCTTGCTACGTTTCATTCTTGGTTATGTAATGATGACAAAGTTGCAATGAAGTGAACTCGACAACAAGTATATTCATTGAGTTTCACCAGTTCACATTTGCTGCCGAATCGGGGAATAAACCCGTTTTTGTGTTTGTCGCACGATCTGATCTACATTAGCCTATTATAATATTTTTAATTGAAGTCGACAATGTTTAATAATATTACTATCAACAGTAACTACAATAATAATGAGGGCTAGCGTTATGTCTTATCACATGACTGGATAAATATCAAAGCTTGTATAGTAATAGGTTTTTTTGTCCTAATTATTTATTCCAGTTGAATGGTTGGCAATCATTTGCAACGTCTTTGTTTCTGAGTTTTTAACCACGCTTTCTTGTTTTGCATTCGAAGCAAAGTATTGTACCCGTTGACTTTTTCAGCCTCTGTCATGCTGGTACATATCTTTTGCAGCTTGCATCCATCTATAATAAAAATACACTTAGTATATAACAAATGTACAACAGTGTTATGGCTTGCGCGACGTGAATTCGATTCTGGCGGTGCATATTTACATAGATGTTAGGTGACTGTATAGCTTGCGAGGTGGTATTATTGTCTGATTTGACACGTCGACGCGTATCTTACGAATAAGTCTGCAACAAGGTAACTTTGATTTTCCTATCCAAAATGAGTCGATTGTTATTGTGTTTTTGTACCTTGATCAAAATCCACAGCGCTAAAACTTGATACGTAAATTATGACTCCATAATTTGCGCGTTTGGGACGGTCCTAAAACTCTCCAACGTGATTATGCAGATTCTTGCAACATTTTCACAGTTTAGGTTTAGTCTATAAAGGCTTGATAGGAAGCATCACGGTGTTTACGTGGTAAGGTCGTAGCAATTGAAATTAATATTAATGAGTAATCACATATCGATATCAACACAATATTCATATTCAGGAATTTAAAAATAATTAATATTAATAAAACCCAACATAGCAATTAAGATATTAACCAAACAATCAATTCATGGTGCTTTATGCCCGACTATTACTGTGGGTACGTTCAAGGAAAGTTGTGATACCATTCTCCATGTTCCTCTGTTTGTTTGCGTAATATTTTACAGTCTTTTTTGATTATTTCAGTTCTTTTTATGGTAATCGATTTCAAAACTGGGTTTTCGGACATGTCGTGATTATGTCAATTAAACTTTGTTTCTTGCAATTTCCACACTGATCGACAGGAAATAGGGTTATAATGAAAGGGGACCTCCTTTTATAGAAAGTGACTGAAAAGGTAATTAGTAAAGGCGGAAAGAAAAAAAGGCTAACGGCACTTGGCAATAGTACCAAGCATCGAAATCAATATTACTGTCCGTGATTTCTATTTTAATATCCACGTATCCCGTCTCCTTGCGATTTACCGATGTTTCAAGCATTTGCTTACGCTCAGACTATTCTAATGCCCAATCAGACACAGCTATAATGACATGACTCTGAATTAGGAAACTAAGATATTCCATTCGGAATAAAGAAAATACGGGCTTGGGTTTTAAATTAAAAAAAAAAAAAAAAAATTCAATTCTTGTAACCCCCTTAATATTAAAAAGCACTCTGGGTCTTTCCCAATCTACCGATGACCGCCACCGCTCACACTCCCGCACCACTATCAACTACTTCTCCTCCAACGGCGTCTTCGGCGCTTGATCTGCTACGTCCTTCCTCCTCGTCTGACCTCACTCTCGATGGAGAGATACAAATTTTCGAGAAGCATGCTTCAGTAGAGAAAAATGGACAAAAGTACATGTCGCGCGACGATTTTGTCGCCACGATCACCGGAGGAGAAGACAACGAGATCACAATGGAACAATCCACCGTTTTATTTAACATCGCCGATACAAAACGAAGGGGTCTTGTTTCCCTAGAAGACTTTGTAACTTTTGCGAACCTTCTTTCTAAACCAGATGCAGGATATGAAATAGCTTTCCGCTTCTTTGATACTAATGGCACCGGCAAGATAACTTCGGATCAATTCAGGAAAATCATCACTACTCGTTGCAGTCAAGATGGTTTACCCTTCGACTTTAATTGTGATTGGCTCAAACTCTACGTTGGTAGTGAAAAAGGTCGTTCGCGGGAACTTTCCTATGAAGAGTTTTCTCAATTACTTAAAGACTTCCAAGCCGAACGTTTACGCCAAGGATTCAAACATTATGATTCTGAAGGAACAGGTCATATCACGGCCGATGATTTTGAGAAGATCATAATTTCAATAGACAAATACAAGCTTTCTGATTTTCTGATTAAGAATCTTCCAACAATACGTAATTTATCAGCCGATAATCGCATATCTTACGCATTAGCTGTAGCATTCTATAATGTCATACGACAGATAGATATGATAGATCGTGTTGTCTCCACCGCCACCGCCCAGTCTTCCGATCGCAAAATAACAAGACAGGATTTTCTCAACGCCTCTAAATCAACGAAATCTTCCGTGTTTACACCTTTAGAAGCCGACATTATTTTTCACTTTGCTGGATTGGATAGTACGTCTGATAGACTAGAACAAAAAGATTTCTCTCGATTTCTAAAACCAGAATGGTATCAGCCTCAGGAAATTAAGCGAACAGTTACTGTAAAAAGGAAGGAAGGCATGTTTGGACAATTTTTACATCAATTGTACTCATTCACCCTTGGATCGATGGCTGGGGCAGTGGGTGCTACCGCAGTATATCCGATTGATCTGCTGAAGACAAGATTGCAGAATCAGAGGACCATGGTAGTTGGGGAGTTGATGTATCGTAACAGTTATGACTGTTTTAAGAAAGTTGTTAAAAATGAGGGCTTTTGGGCATTATATAGTGGGCTTGGGCCACAATTGATTGTATGTATTCTATTGTCTGTTGATTGAGTGATCAAGATTAGTTTCAAGTGATTAATTTTTTATTATTTTATAGGGTGTAGCACCAGAAAAAGCTATTAAACTGACAGTAAATGACTATGTCAGATCACTTACAAAAAACAAGGAAACTGGCGAAATACCTCTCAAGTATGAAATACTTTCCGGGGCAACGGCAGGTGCTTCCCAAGTTGTAAGTACGATATAAATTGCGCGTTTTTTTTGCGTAGACGGACATTAGGCAATGCATTCATCATATTCTTTGACCCATACTAACCATTTTGGCACTTCCAAACGATTATTTTTCCCTTAATGTTTTCCTCTCACAAACAAGGTTTTTACAAACCCGCTAGAAATCGTAAAAATTAATCTTCAGTTACAAGGTGAAATAACCGCTGCTCAAAAGGACACAGCCATAAGAATCGTCCGTAAGCTTGGTCTGCTCGGTCTTTACCAAGGCGTTCGTGCCTGCCTCTTGCGAGATGTACCTTTTTCGGCAATTTACTTTCCTTGTTATGCACATCTTAAAAAGGACTTTTTTAATGAGGGCCCTGATCACAAGCTCGATATTGCTGAACTTCTCCTCGCCGGTGCTATTGCTGGTATGCCGGCAGCATACTTTGCAACACCTGCTGACGTAATCAAGACAAGACTCCAAGCCCAACTTTTGCACCCAAAGCCCGGACAAGCACCTTATAAAGGTCTCGTCGATTGCGCTAAAACGATCTACCGAGTTGAAGGATTTAGAGCCTTTTTCAAAGGCGGTCCTGCCAGAGTTCTTAGATCATCACCGCAGTTTGGCGTAACATTAATGGTTTATGAGTTATTGCAGAGGTTGCTTCCGTGGAATGCTTCCGGGGCGTCTGCAGGGATTAGTGTGAACGAGTCATCGGATTTGGGATACCTGCGTAGTAGAGACGGATTGAGGATTCTATCGGTATGTAATCATATTTTTGACTATTCAGAAAGTTGCTCATTATGTTTCATATATTTACTTATTGACAAATTGACTTTCCAGGATTTGGGTTACAAATTTGGAGTCCATCCGATCTGATTGATAGATGGATCTTAGTTATTGTCATATTAGCATTGCGTTTAAATAGAATCTGAAACCACATTTAAGCACACGAAAAAGCGGTATACGCATTAATGGGTTTATGATAAGACTTTGTCTTCTGGAGATTTCAGTACTGTTTTCCCGTATCGCCAGCAGGCAATTAAACATCTTTAATTTTCTCATCCAGGAAAGTCTACACGGTCTTATCATCCGTTACACACACACAACACCTCACATCTATGCAATATTCTAATATTTAAATTATTTGCTTATTCTTCTATTAAACTGTATTTATTTTCATTTTGTAGAGGTCATGTTCAGTGATATTCTTGGGCTTGACTAAACATTAAAGTAGAGCGTATACACTGTTCAATATTGATATAGAATTAACAGACATAATAGAGATTGTCACTTAGAGCGCACTAATTAAGAGAAGAAAAAAGTAAATAAAAAGTCTTTGAAAGTTTTCTTGTTTATTGAGATTGAGCGTTCCTCAGGTCGCATGTTAGTGATGGGTAACATCAAGATTACTCATTAATTATCACTGTGCTATCCTCCTCTCATTTTTCTAGCGCTCGGCTCTCCATCGACGTTACCAATACTCGCTCTCTTCCTCTTCAATCCAGTTATTTCAATGTTCTCCCACGGCTTCCTATCTATGGATCCACCTTGCATACTCTTTTTCGCCAAATTCCTTAATGTAAATGTCTCATAGTTAATTATAGGTATTTGTTCGGGCATATTACCATAATCTGATGATGTTGAAGAGACGACTGTAGAAGAAGATGGCGATGAATCCGAACCCACAGAAGGGAAGTAAACCTGATCTTCCGCCGCTATCAGTTTTTGTAAACTATTCTCTATCAAACGGACCTGCTCCATGTTGAGTTGACGCGGATCTTCACCTGATCGTTTGGGAAAAATCTATTATGCCGAAATAAAATTATTTCATTCAACTTGCAAAGATCACTAGAACGCTACACTATTACCAAGAACAGTCATTACCGGTGTTCTCTTGTACGAGTGTTTACTTGGAAACGGAGGAAGATGAGTCGGAACGTAAGCTGGACGTGACAAGGAATCTGATTTCTCTTTCACCTTTGGCTCACCACTCTTCACAATTCGATCTCTTCGCTTATCCTCAACACCCACGGTTGCCTCTAGCTCGTCCTCTTCGTCCGAAGCCAACATCTCTGGTGTGGGCTTTAACAATGGCGATGCCGGACGAAAAGACGTCCGCAGGGCAGAGCCTAATCGCCTATATTTTTCTATAACTCGCAAGCGATAGAATTATTGCTCGGTCAGCGGACTTGAACAGTAATATGTGAACGGAATGATTTTGTTTGATAAAGTACAAGAGATCTAGTCTATAGCTAAAGTGGTTTCTAAGGTCCATGAAGGAAGAAGAGATCGGAGCATTTTAGCCCTGCTGCTCGAAAACCTTCACCTGTTTGACACCTTCCGAGAAAAGTCTCCAGTCCACTTGTCCGAACTCCTAATTTCTCAAGGGCCTTTTCGATGTCTTTAAGATTGGGTTGTGTTCGACAAGCCAGCTCGGCAAAGGAATGCGAGGTTATTATTAGGTTATCAAAATCTATGGTATGATAATGTAAATGGTATGGTGGGACTTGTTAGACGGTGATAAACATTATTAAATATCGTTGTATATAGTTTGAAGTTTTTATCTTTATTTTTATTTCTTACGCACATGTTTCTATGGCATCAGCTAAAGCTTCGTGGGCTCGTGGGTTTATGCTAGTAAATCCAGCTTCGCTGGCTAAGAAGGCACCTACTCTCTTGCTTATTTCATTAGCTATTCGCGCATCAATACACACGTTTGAAGTGGATGAAGTCTGAGTGTTTTGTGAACTCATATTATACAGTTTAACAAGACAAGAAACAAGAGAAAACAAGCAAAAAAGATTACTTTTCAATATTCGATTAGTCGACATCTGTACTTGGTGTGACAAAACCTTCATAACGCCAGTTCCTCATGTGACTCTACAAATTGCCACGTGTCCTCATCGAGTGACCGGACATGAACTCGCAAAAGTTCAAGTACTGATGTTTTTCGCCATAAAAAAGCGTTATTATAAAGAGAACAGCACGGGATGTTGTCAAATCTGTTTGATAAAAGTCAAATAATGCTCTAGAAAATACCGTCGTTCGTCTTCCTCCCGTTATCGGTTTCCATGGGTTCATGTTCATCTCCAGAATTTTGTGTGTCAGCGGACAAATCGTTCTCTTTATAAAACCAAGCACTGGTCAACGCTGTTGTTAACGACGACAACTAATTAACCGACTCCATTATACTCTCGTATTACCATGCAGCTCATCATTAGCAGAATTGTCGTTATTGGGTGTTAAATCTTCCATCTCTTCGGCAGAAATGCTCACATCACTTGCAGACGACGAACTTAATATATGGTACATTCTGGGTCTATCGCTGTCACTGTCGCTGTCATCTCTAAAGCCAAATGTCGCCGCTACTGCCTGGTTACTTTCATGTATTGGGGTGACCGTGAATTCGTCGATAATCTCGACAGTCTCGACAGTCTCTGCAGAAGAAATAGACCAAGGATCAGACATTGATGTGTCAAAGAAGATATACACGATTATACTGATGATAATAAATTTTTTATCGAACATCTATTGGTTGCAGTTGTTTTTTGTATCACATCGGATGAAATATATGAAAGAGACATAATCCAGGATTTGGACAGTTAGACAAGACTCGTTTGCAAATTTGACTAACAATAATAACAAACATGGGGTTGTTGGCAATTCTGAGAAAGCTCCGTCAGAAGGAGAAGGAGATGCGTCTCCTTGTGCTGTATGTTTAATGTTTTACTACTTTTTGTATACCGTGTGGCTACATTAAAGGCTTACTATGCAGAACAGCGGTTTAGACAATGCAGGCAAGACAACTATACTTAAACGATTAAACGGTGAAGCGATAGATACAATATCACCTACTTTGGGCTTTAACATAAAGACATTGGAACATAATGGGTATGTATTTCGAAACAACCGGCGGGTTCCTTGATTGTTTGACTTTGTCTGGTTTACTTACTAATGAGTATAGTACGTGTTTAGATATAAACTGCATATATTTGATGTGGGTGGGCAGAAATCAATTAGAAGCTATTGGCGAAATTATTTTGAGCAGACTGATGGGGTTATATGGGTAGTTGATAGCGCAGATAGAATGAGATTGGAAGATTGTAAAAAAGAGTTGCATTCACTATTGCTAGAAGAGGTGAGTATATATAGTTCATAATAGTAAGCACGCTAATTCTTTTTCATATTTGTATGCTAATGATATATTTGTTATCAGCGATTGTCGGGCGCATCTTTACTAGTGTTTGCTAATAAACAAGATCTTCCCGGTGCATTGGCTGGACAAGAAATCAGAAAGGTTTGTTCATAGAATCCAGTCCCGCGCAAGTATGTTTTGGACGGAGAATTAATGTATCAACAATTTTTAGGTTCTCGATTTAGACTCAATATTAACCCATCACTGGGCTATACAAGCTTGCAGTGCATATACAGGCGACAATCTACTTCGTGGCATGGACTGGATAGTTGGAGATATAGCGTCGCGTATTTATTTATTGGATTAATGATGACATGTACTGTAAATCGCAAATCCGAGATATATTAATATACCAGTTTAAACTGACCTATCTCAAGTATATCGAAATTTAAAAATTCCTAAGGTGGCCACTACCGTTTTGGATGAATACCTTAAATCCAAATTTTTTGATCTTTGGAAACCTGAGGAAAATTATACAATTAACCTTCCAGTCGATTAAAAACACGGTTGACGTCATCTGGATTAATCGGGCTGACCTTTTCGTCCAGAAAAAGGTAGCGCTGATTTTTATCTCCCGTAGTAGCCGCCAAATTATGTTGGCATATCATCACTCTTCGATGGCGTCATGTGTATCGTTTATTATAGAATTGAATGGTATTAGTATGTTGTTATGATGAACAATTTCTTAGACAGGTAAATTGTAGGCAAAACGTCAACAAGCCCATCTTAATTAAAACTCTATATCTTCCTTTGGATCCCATTCTACACTATAATGTAGAGAATTTCGACTGCGGGAAACTTTATTCGCACCTATTGAATGCTTGCCTAAGCTGATACAATGTAGAGACTTTCAAATCTTGAGAGGGCTCTGTATCATGAATCGCCTGTTAATGTGCGGACCATTTTCTGGTCCACACGTGCTGAAGCTCAATGCTGGTTAGTTAGAACTGTTACGTTACTTAATAAGGATGATTATTTACATACAATTGGAATTAGAATTTCTTTCGGGCAAAATATAAAATCAAAGCTTCCGCTTGAACCAACACAGCTTTTATTAAAGAATTATATAACAGTAATTTGTCGTACTGGTACATGAAGAAGCAAAGGGCTGCAATAATAAGATATATTAATGTTCATTAAATTTCTTATGATATCCATTAGAATGTTAATGTTCGCCAAATTAACTTAGTACAGAGTTATAAAGAATTAAAATAACATAAGAAATTCACACTCTTAAGTATAATCACCAGGGATGACAGTATTACAACCTTCGGTACTCTTTCCGGTATTACATTTACTAGAATCAGTACAGCAACGGATACAGAAGAAACCGTCTGCCGGCTCAACCAGTTCCACGAACTTTTTAGATCCTGCACAGGTTGCTCCAGGTGGAGCACCTACACTATCATATTGACCACCCATATCAGTCGAACTCAAGTTATATTTAGATCCATCTATTCTGCCGGTTACTTGAACAAAGCCATCTCCAACAACATAGTGGCTCGTTACAATAAATCCGCTGGGAAGGATATTAGCATTGGGTGCATTGGGGGTGGCTTGCGTACAGAATGGCACAGCGTCGTTTTCATGGCTGGCAATGTCGCCACCAGGTTGTGGTGGGAGAAATAGGCAGTACACGGTTGAGTTGTCTATTGCGGTAATGGTCGGTGGGTTTATCGGGGCAGCGTGGACGAAAATAATGGCTGCGAGAAGTAAGCAGAGTGCTGACAAGTTAATTAGCTTGATCATATTGAAGAAGCGTGTCGGTATTGTCTAAACCCGAGGGTATTTCCTTCCTCCCTCCCTCTCTATATATATGCGAGAGTGACGGCCGATACACAGCCCTTGGCATTATGTAATGTGTAAGTAAAGGCGTTATTATTAACCATATATGTGCAAATAATTACTATTAAAACGTCTGTGTCCCATATAATAAATTCGTGAACAGGAAAAATTGACTGACCCCTTAAGTATTAGTAAAGGTAATAACCGATAAAGTAGATTGGCAATTACTGCGTTTAGCTAATAACAGTAGATCCCTTTCTTTCAGCGATCAATCTCCACAAACTACCTTTTGGGGCAACAATAGCCCTAATTTGAAGGACATTCAACACATCTATTTTTAGTTATTGAGATTGCATGGTTTGACAAGCGAGTATTTACTATTACTATGGCTAATAAGAAATTATTATATTTTTAATTATGGTTTGACAAGCCGTATTGTACTATGGCTAATGAATTGGAACTTTAAAGTGTAAGTACACTTTATTATCAAGACATGTAATTTTAGATACATTCACGTGCTTTTTATTGGTTAAAAAGGTCACGAGCGGCTTGCCTGATCGATTGTTCGCATATTTTGATGTCATATTAAACATGCGTCTTATTGTATTACGCAAAAATTTTACTATGTACTCAAATGACTTCAACACAACCATCCGGAACATTGTTGTTATGAACACAACGCAAACTATTTGAGAAGCGATAGTTATGACCATGACGCCTCATCATCAAATAGACGTGAGCTCTCGTTGTCTCTATCCCTACGATGCGATGCGCAACCCTTCTTCTGTAAACGAGTGAAGTTTGTGGATGTCTGCAGAAAAGGAACGATAAGACTTGGACCATCCAAACCGTTTGTCAATATCCCGGTTTTAGAAAATTGTCAATGAAGCTCACAAGTACAGGATTAAGGATTATTCGATCGAAGTGCAACAATCATTTATGTGGACCAACAGAATTTGATAAGGGATATATGACCACCTTTTTAGTGTTCAGTTATAGAGTCAGCTGATAAGAACACAAGGAAT